TGACCAGTGTGCACTGATTGTTCCTCTGTCAAAAGGCAGAACTTTGTGAGGTCATCAATATACATAGAAGGGAACATTGGCTTTGCTTGTCTAGAGCACTTTGGGACAAGCTTTTTTATATCAAGTATGTCACAAAGTTCCCTTAATGACTTTGTCTCAGTGTCAGTTTGCATTAAAACAAGGTGGACCAAAATGGCCTTCAACTTTTGTGAATTATCTAGATAGACTATCTAGATAGAAGCACACTGCCTTTTCTTGTATTCATGGTCTTCCTCTCCCTAGAAAATGCATCACACCTCTACTGGATGAGGCTTCTTCCAGAATATAGTGGAAACAGCTAGTTATGTTCTGGTGAGGTTTGGGGGGTTTATTTGTAATCTAGTCTAGTAGAAGTGCCTGTCTTGCACAAAATAATATAGAAATTAGAGTACTCACAGGAGATATAACCAAGTTTTGGGGGTTTTTGTGTGTTTTAGAGAGGCACAGGCTCCATCTATAACTACATTACAGGCTTTTCTGATAAGGGGGCTATTTTCACCATTTTTACTATGCTGAAAAAAATTGGATAGAAGTTGAAAATTGACCAGATGAAAAAGCAGCACCCAAAGATGCTCATAGTTCTGTCGTCTTCTGCTTATGGCACTCCACATAAACCATCATAAACATATGCAAACACGGAGCAAGGACCAGAACTCAAACTCCTTTTACCAAAAACATAAAGAGGTGAATCCTTACTCAACCTAAATTTGCTGTTCTTGACTGTGAGCACAGAAACTTAACTCTCTTCACTGACTCGCCAAAAGCAATGTGGCATAGCAAAGTGCACAAACCGAAATAAAAGAATAATGATGGACTGGCACAGAAAATATGTGCATTGGAAAGAAGCAGATTTGGATGAGAAGCTTGTTGACACTGAGACTGGGAAGAAAAATCAGTTGAAGGTTGGATTTTGGACTCAGTCTCTCATTAAAAGGGCAGGAGTGATATAGGTTGAAAAATAGGACCTGTGACACATGTACTTAAGAACTGCAGTTTTATATCTACAGTTATATTGCAGCTATCACTACAATTTACAGAATGCAGACAATGTGATAGTGCAGTCTTCCAGTGTGACTCTAGGGCTAGCAGTCTCAGCAGGTTTGTCGTCAAGGTCAGTCCTTGTGCTGAAGCTGCTGTTCCCGCATCGTCACTGCTATCATTATCTGTGCAGCGACCATTCCGCAAGAAGAGCATAAACAAAACTGTAGCTTTGACCCAATTATCTACAGGACCCTATCCTGGCAGCCCATGTTTCTTTGGACAACCTAATAACTAAAAAGGACCCATGCATATATTAAGATGATCATGCTATTTCTACCTCTAAACTCTCCTATTTTATATTTACCTCAATTATCAGTCTCTTGACTAAAGCTTCCTCATGTAAGACGGCTAATAAGAACACTGCAATGCATCCAGCTTTTTTATCATTAGCAGGAGTTGCTCAAAAATATTTTTTAATGATCAGTTTTCCTCTCATTTTTCTTTCCAGTACTTACCTACAGCATGGTGAGATCTCTCCAGCTAAATGTTATATTTTGTCACATAATTCTTACTGCTGTGGCTACTCTGAGAGAAAACTATATATGGAATATCATAACCTTTTACTCCAGCTCTTGGACAAAAGGAACATTCATTAGTATCATATTTTTACGATGGTCAGAAATGCATTAAAGCACTAAAAATCTTGATAGTTACTGTGGGAAGATTTTTAAACAACTGGACACCCATGGAAGAGGGTCTAGTACCATCATAACATTTATAAAATCTTTCTCTCAGTTTAACAGACACGTCATTGCAGAGTAAACTGTTTCCAGTGAAGTCCACAATGTTAGAATTTGAGAGTGCTATAGAAGAACTTTTGGAGTCTTACATCTTCTAAAGTTGTCAAAAAACTGTTTTTTATTGTGCTGATACTTAATATTATTAGAAATTCTGGAATCTGTAGAAGATAGTTATTCAGTTATATAGGTGGTGAAAAAAGGTTTTTCTTTTGTACTTACTGACAGCCAGGAAAAAAACAGAACCTGGAATTTCCTAAAAAAAATTTGTTCAGATAGAAAATACTCATTTGCGGAAGTCAATATTTTTTTGTAAAAATGCACGTAAGTTTTACCAGTGATGGAACTTCTGCCCCAAAAGAAAGATTAATTTAAGAGAAAGAAGTACTGCCACAGTAACCACAACCAAGAAATGGAATTCACTCTGCTAAAATAAGAGGAGAAATTCAAATTTCAGTCTCCCAAAATCCAGCTGCATATCCTTGCTCTCAAGGGTGGATGAAGCTAGTTGTTAGCTCCACTTTCTAAAACCCTCAAACTTTTACAAGACACATAAAAGTTTTCCATAAGGCTCTTCCAAGACCTCACCAGTTGTGAAGCTGTTAAGGGGAGTTGTTTATTCTGAGAATACCTGTATTACTGCTACGTTAGGTTTTAAATTATATCTGCAGAACAATTTCCACAGAACTTTCTATAACAGCCCTTTCGCAAATGACACTTTCCAGCACAGTGTAGACAGAAATTACATACTGTATATGTCAGAAGTATCTCCAGCCAAGCCTTTTTCCATAACTGCAGTAAAGAAATCAAGTTTGTCAAGGAGATAACTGCCTTCTCTTTGGCATATTGAAAACTGTTAACTCATTAGGTCACAAACACTGTTATAATCTCACCTAGAATTCACTTTCATTTTACCACGGTACCTCTGACTGTGTATATAAACCAAGAATAAATCTTTATGTTTATTCACCCTCGATGTGTAAACACAGTGTGTTTATATAACCGTAAAATCTATTTTTAACTACAAGAGAACTGTAAAAATTAACTTGTCATTTGTGTTAAAGAGTAATTGATAGAAACTTCTCCCTATTTTGAGATCTTTAGTAGCATATGGAATTTAACACATGATGTCAAGTACTCACCTCATTGTTTCTTCATGACAAAGTCTGCATTTTCTGATATGTTAGTGGACTGACATGCGTACTGGAAACACATTTTTTGTACTTTTATCTAAAACACGCTTTGCAGATTATATCTTTAATAATTTGTTAGAATAATTCAAGATATTGGTCTAAATCTAAACATTTAAATAAATACTTTGTGTTCCCAATCCCTTAGAACAAGATGTTCTCTGCTGCATTCTGAAGTAAAGGGGAAAGATCCAACAGACTAGCTAACAGATTGAAAGACTGCGTACAGTGATGGCAATACTTTATAAACTGAATTCACTGGTCTGTAATTTGAAGATATTTCACTACTTAATTTCTTTCCTTTCTTCCACAAAAAGAAAATCAACAAACACCCAAAACTGTCTCTGTCTTCAATTTTTATGGAGAGAAAACCTAGCAAGATGAACTATCATTTCATGAATGAATACAGAATAAACATAGTCTTTTTTGTAGCCATAATTATAAATCCTATTATTTCTCAGTGCAAGAAAGGTGAGATACTGTAAGGTTGAGTTTAAAATTTAAGTACAATGAATAAAGTTAATTCAGGGGTTGTTACCTTAAAAGTTAAATTGTTCTTGAAATTAATCTCTTCTTATAAGAAGGAAAGAGATATCAACCAAAGCTAACTTTATCCTACTTTTCAAATGTATTTCTCAATTTTATAACACTTTACATATACCTTACATTAAAAAGAAATGAGGAAAACCAAAATGTCTTTTATAGTTAGACAATCACTCAAAAATAGCGCATATGTGCAACATGGGAAAGTTTAACAATAATTAAACCATAGGTGTTGCATATTTATATAAGTAAAGTTCCATTTGAGAAATACATTTTGAAACAAATTCCTAAAAATTAGGAATTAGTAACTATGGCAATCCTACTGTAAATCAAGGTAATTCCGACAGCTCTGCCAAGTGTCTAAAAGGACAGACAGTATGAAATAGAAAACAGCTACTGAAAGGGGAAAGGAATATAAAAGCTCCTTATAAAAAGATAGGGCAGTGCTCATTGTCATGCAGGCACATTAGTTGCCATATCCTGTGTCCATTGACTGCAGTGGAAGCTTTAGCATTGACTTCAAACAGGTGCAAGTCTCATGCGACTAAAGGGAATAAAACGTACAGTCACGGCATGAAAGCAACAGTGTATAAAATGTGGTGAGACAGGATATGCAATTCCAACCTGGTACACAAGAATCTGACAAAGCTATTTAAATGCAGTGCCAAGTAAGGATGCAAGTGAAAAACCAGACATTTCTAAACAGACATTTGGCAGGCCTCCATTCAACGCTACAAGAAAAGCATAGGAAAGATGTTACAAAAACGAGAGTGTTAAACTGTAGTGGGGGGGAAGAACAAGGAAGACCCAGAAACAGGAATAAGCATTATCCTGTTCTGTCAAAATACAATATCACTTGTTCAGGACACAGCTGTTGGTGTGTCTTGGTGGGTACTGCAGCCTAGTCTGCCCTGAGAACTGTTGGGACTTAGACCCATTTTTATTTATTTTCTTCTGTATTATCATGAGCATTTGAAAACGTTGGAGGACATTTCTTTTCACTTACATAATCTTCAAAGAGAAGTCCTAGGCTACATTCTTATATCAGCTGAGTTATGCATGATGTCCTCAACTAATTCTGTAAAGTGAGTAGCTGAGATGTCATTCTATTAATTAGAAGCTGGTCAGAAATAGAATACTTAGCCCAAAGGAAACTATGTGACTTCAAGATTTCTTTCCAGACACAATCAGAAGAGAAAGCTATGGAACACAGAAACTATCTAAAATGGGGGTAATAAACATATTAAGCTCATCTGGATGAGTATTAGAGCAGGATGACTGAATCTCAACATTTAGTTTAAAACTGGATTTTGACATTAAAACAAAGACTGAAGGTAACAACTTTGAAGGGAATAAGGCAAAACTATAAACAACTGCAAGAGGTAAAGCACAGAAGAAATTAAGCAGATCTTCTACAGTTAAGTTTTATCATGAACAGGTAAACATGTACCTGTGCAAGCATGGGAAATCCGAGGTTCCTGCATCCATTACAAGGTGTCAACGCTTCCCATAAACCTGAAGGACCACAAGTATTTTCACCTGCATCATCTTCTTCTTCTTCTCTGGGTGATAAACATGCTGAAGGCGGCCTCTGTGCATAAAGAAACAGTACTTTTAAATTAAACACAGTGATACATTGCAAAGAAACATTTTATTTAATGAACTGAAACATTCCCATTTACAAATTCTAACAGATAAACTGCTGTTTTAATACAAAGTAACTTATCAACTGTTAATCTGCCTTATGAAAATCACACATTTTAAGGAAGGTGCATATTGATCTATCTGCAATCCTACTTTAAATATGAGCAAATATAGCAACATTCATTAAAATATATATTTATTTTCTTTATTATGAAGTAATTGGCAATTTCTACTGCATTTTACTTTAAAATTTGCTTTACAATAATTAAGTTTAGAATATCCCCCAGAGGATGAAAAGTATACATTTAAAAAACCCCAGCACATTACCCTCAAGACAGATCTTATTTCAATAGCCATCTGCTGCATTCAGAAAAGTATCATTTGCCTGGATCAGTCCAAGTTTTTTAAAGAAAAAAAAATCAATCAAATAAAAATATTTTTATTTCATATTAATCAATAATAAGCATGTTAGAATATTTTGTAGGAAAAAAAATTATTTTTAGATGGTCTGTCATATTTTGTTTCATCGGTTAGAAGGTATGAAAGGTACTGTGAAGAGCGATTCAGTTGTAACCATGAAGGCTTCCATGTTGATCTCAGTGATAAGGGAATAATGCTGATTTTTGCTTAAAACAGTATCCTATATTTAATCCATGAAATTGGAATATGCAATACCTGTTCTAGCCTGCTTGACGTTTTCTTGTGCAGCCTGCCTGACATTCAGACACTAAATGTTGTCTTTAGGAAAGCTTGTCTGTCTTAATGTCTCAGAAGTGGCGGTGTTTTTGCTTGACCAACATAATGCTATTTGAGACACCAGCTGACCACATCTACTCATCTGGTGGTAACGTTAGCTCTGGAGCACTACTATGAGGCCTATATTAAAAATAAACAAACAAAAAAACAACCAACACACCACTTAACTGCACATTATTTTATCCAATTGAATAAGGAAATTTGTAGAGCCAGTTGCAAGAAAGAGAATGCAGAGGTGAAAGAAAAGTAGGGGGAAAAGAAGCAGAGAAACAGCAGCAGTTCTAAAGATGAATACAAGCTGATGGAAACTGTAAGTGAAGCAAAGGCACCACATAGACAGACACTAATTCAAATAACATCTGATGATCATTTAACCTGTGCTAACTTCCTATACACATTACGGCATACCATTAATTTAAGCAGAAAAAATATTTCTAAATTCTATTTCAGCTCGCTCACCAAAGATGAGAAACACAATATACCCGCCTCCACTAATCTGACTCCCTCTAGTTAGAAAAGGGTTGGTCCCTTGTTGCAGACATCATGAATCTAGCCACATCTTCCTAACTTAGATGGATTTATTTACTTTTTCTTTTAAAAGTGAATTTCTAAGGCACTCTTAGCATGATATTTCACGAGGTTATTTTAACAGTCAAGTGAGACCACAGAATGTGTTGCCATAGCAATCAACTCTTACACAAATTATTTAAAGGATTGGGTTAACTCTGCAGAGTGTTGGTTGTGAAAGACTATTATTGCTATACATTTGCATAGACAAAGGAAGCAAACTACAGGTCTTTCCCATCTATTTATGATGCCATCTTCAATGGTGGTTGCCTTGCGTTTATACTCTAAATGTCAGAATTGTTGTTCCAGAGAACAAAGTGTTTCTTGCCCCCTGGAGCAAAAAGCAAAGAACTGCACCAGTGCTAAATCGAGAAAAACAGGTAACACACATTAGCTGTGACCTTACAAGCCAATGTAAGTGAATGACGACAAAAGTCACAGCAAAATGTCAATGCACCTTCTAAAGATAAAAGATACATGCACGCAGTATCAAAGAGAATTTTTCAGCACAACTAAAGGAAGGTGAATAATGCAATTCAATACATTTGAATCATTCAAGGGAGAACATATGAGTATTGAGCCATTATAGGAATAGAGTAGGAAAAAATCATACCAAAATATTATTCAACAACAGAAAAAAAATACATAACCAGAATAAAAGAGAGTTGTATTATTTCCATGAGGTGTATTTTATATAAATACCCTAAGATAGAGTGGAGATCACAGGAATTTAAATTAATGTCAATATGAATGAGAAGAAATGAGAAATACTACATAGTCAGATCTCCTGATCATTCAAAAAAGGACCAGTGGATGTCAGAGTTCATTAGACACACTATCAGAATAAATTCACCAGTACTCTTAGGCAGCTAGACAATTCAGGTATAAATGACACAATGCAGGCTAATTTACAAACTATTGCAGGGTAGGGTTGGCTCTCTTTATACTGAATGAGTTATTTCTGCTGTCTTGCCCAGATTTCTGCTACTTATAAAGCACTAAAAAAGAAGCATTAGGAGAATATATATGAAGGGTCAAGAAATAATTACTGCTATCACCTTTCTCACTCATCCCCTCTGCCAGAAGCTCAGTTCTTCGCAGCAATTGGTGCAAAGGGATAATTAGGAGTTACTGCAAGGTAAGTGAGCTGCCTTAGCAGAGAAGGAAGGAGTTAAAAGCTGCATGGGAGAAAGGGGAATCAGAAGTTCCCCAAAGAGGGTAGACACTGTTTGCATACCCATGTAAGAGGGATGCACCTGGAGGACCGAGGTGAGATCCAGAAAGATCTACAATCAATCCACCAAACTCAGTCTGTCACACAAGCTCATAAAACTCTGAACCCAGACCATCCAGTTTCCTCCTACTCCCTCCCAGCCTTCAGTCCTTTCCCAGAACTCTCTCATTTTTCATTTCCATTGTATAATTTAATTTTGCCTCCTCAGAGATCCTTTGGACATGAAAATCTAATTCTGTGTGTGCTGCTGGTAAGCCTTGAAATAGCCCTGTAGGGATAGTTTTAGTGAAATCAAAGTTATTTATGCCCACTTCTCAGAAAAGAAGAAACAGAGAGACAAAGATATTTCCATCACCTAAAGAAAAAATAGACACAATTGGGAACCTTTTACTCATGTCTGTTTTGATTCAAAAAAGAAAAAGTAAATGTAGTTAGAAAATGCCACCTAGATCATAGTTGCTCAATTAACTGACATCATGAAATGGTGAAGTCAATATAAACTGTAACATAAACTTCAAAAAGGCCAACTCTGCCTTAGCTAGAAGAGACATAAGTATAAGCATTATATATCCTCACAGAAACAGAGAGAAAACCTTAAAAGATACTAGATGTGATATGTAAAAAGGAAAAAGTGGTAGGGAAATCACAAGACATTGACATGGAATAAAAGATTTATGAAAAGTTCTGGGGTTTATTGGAACACTGAATTAAGTATTAAAAATTCCTTACAGCAGTAAAAAAGTAACCATATAATTTCTTTATGTTTTAAAAAGAAGATAATACTAATATAGCAGTAAGAGATCAGTAAGATCTAGCAACAGGACATTGGACCATTACAATTAGAAGCAAGTTCACCTTAGACTCCACTGCTCCTGTCACATCATCTCTGATTTTCATACCCAATGAGATTACACCTTTGAAAATTTAAGTATAGGATTCTTCCTCTTCATGTCTCCACCTACACAAAAGCCAAAATCTGCCCAGTAGGACACTTTAGACTGAATGATACTTTATTCTAGAATCAGGCTATTTGCTCTCCCAGAATAAGTATGTACATCAGACTGGCTATCACAATGGCTTGACATCTCTCTCCTGATCCAAGAGAACAAGCCAGTATTTAGCAACACACAATGATGCCTACAAACAAGCAAAACAAAAAAGCAGAGGAATTCTGTTGCACTCTTAAAAGTCAACAGGAAAAGAATAAGAGAGCAACTTTAATCTTAACTATTAGTAAAGCTACCAAATTCAGAGCTCAGGAAGATTTATGTCATACATAGTTTTGGCCTTCCTTTTTACATGTCAGTGATTTCCTATCTACCATATGACCTCATTCACTAGACAAATTTTCTCCATGAATACAGCAAGTCATACAAAACCTATTTCCTTTTATTCCCTCCTTTTCACAGTTTTAACGAAAACTGGTTTGCTTTCTGCCTTGACATTTCCAAGTATCCACTGCTAGACAAAATGTGATTGATTTCAGGATACAGAGGAGACTTTCCTGCAGTAGTCCAGTGAAACCTAAAGCAAAATGTCAAAATCTTTCTTTACTTCTTGTATCTCTATTTTTTCACAGTTATCACCCAATTGCAGAAGTATTGTAAAGGTTCTTTGAGATGGTATCCACTAAAGCAAGAAAGCACCAGTAAAACTATTAAAGATACAAAATAATGGGACATTTATCATTTGCTACCGCATCATAGTTCTGGACACTAACGTTAACTTCATTTACATTGCAGCATATCACATACTAAGAAAATAAACTTCTTGAAATGGAGCAATAAAGATGATATTCAGAAGGCAATCTCCTTGTGCTTACGGAAGATAGAAAGCAGCTAGACAACTGAAAAGCTAAATGCTATCACTCGGTCTGGAACAATGAAGTCAGTTGGAGGTTTCTTCTGAAGAAATAATTGTCAGACATACGATAATGCAAATATTTCATATGATCCTAACTGCTGGATTACAGAGGCATGCCTCCACCTCTCCTTTGCCTGGCCCAAAGGAGATGTAATAATATCATGCAATACAATAAAAGAAAAAAAAAAATACAGTTCTGTTGTCTAACATTCTGATTTTACATTATATTAAGAACTAATAGAGAGGGAAACAGTTGCTAAATATCCTCCATAAATTGGGATGAGCAGGTTGTTCTCTGTCGCTGCTGTTGGCAGCAGCTGTGGCAGCCAAGCCAGGGCCGGCTGAACCCGGCGAGTGTTGCTGTGCTCTCCGTGCTCCCCCTGCTGCTGCCGCCCAGCCTCCTCCCAGAGGGAACTGCCTGATGGATGCCGAAGAGAAAAAACCACAAACGTTTGGGCATGAAATGTAACACCACCGGTAACTACGTGTCCACAGCAGGATGCCTACATTAACAAAACGTACCCTTC